CAACATTTACTGTCTCCCTCCACTGAAACTTTCCAATAGATGAAAAGCCCAAACGGGGACTTCTTTGTCTTTACAGGCTATTAACATCTCTATTGTTATACTTCATTTTTCATCGGACTCACCAGCATCATTTCCAGCAGTACACAGCACTTATCAGCTGTTTGTATGTTACCTGCCCAGCATCAAATAGCAGATGGAGCAAATTTGTAACAAGCAAATAAACACATGTGAGCGTGTAAGAGGCAAATACATCATTCAGTAGTTGGTAAAGACCAAAGAGAGTTTAAATTTGCTGGGTGGCCAGAAACAAGAGTCCAAATAAATGATGATCTTGGTTCTGTGAAAGTGACTTTGTTCTCTCAGTCTTATTTTGGGTTTCGAGCTTCTGCTGCCCCAAGTGATCAAAAAAACATATTATTTTACCTCACAGACACTTCATTTAAAGTCTAAATAACTAAATTAAATACCTTCACATGGATATTCTTAGTAGCAAAATCACTTTTCCATCACAGTAGGTTGTTCTGATGTTCAATCAAGAGTGATGTCCACAACAGAATAACCAGAATTTAAGGCAAATGAAGCAAATAAATGGATTTAAATGTTTTACCTTTCAGCACCGATGACCTGGAGATCCCACCCGTAGGTGACACGACGTGGCTTCGTTGTGGAGTTTCCCTCTGTGACTATCCAGAGAAATGTGTGCAAGATAGAGAAGGAGAATAAAACTACAGCTTGGACTGAGCGTCTAGAAAACAGCATGAAGTGTACCTATGTAGATATTAACGGCAACTTTCTGTTCATCAACTTTGCTTCACTTTATTCATCTTTTGGAGACAGTTTGTACTCTTCTCCTCAGGCTTTGAATAATAATCAGCTTTGAAAAAAGAAAAGAAAAAAGCACATGGATCCATTTCAATTAATATGTAAATAACCCAATGTAAACACATAAATAGCATCAAGATGAGATATAAATTCCTTTTTCTCAGCAGCACAACCGGGGATTTTGTTGATCAGGGAATTCGCTTCTTGTCATCTGGTACTCGCTTTGTTTACACACACACACACACACACACACACACTCACACACATCATGCAGCATTAAACATCAATGCAGTTTTAGTCTCCCTGAAGCAAAAACAACTCCGAACTCAAAGCAACTCCACGAGGCTGGTGCCAGATAGACTCTACTCATCATCTTTTATGTTTTTAGGAAGACATCGTATTGCACTATTGAATAATCTCCGACTTGGAACAGCATAACATACATACAGGATCAGCTCACTGATGGTTCCATGTGTCTGAGTGGACTCGCTGCACTCTCAAATACAGTACAAGATAAATACATGGCAAGTGTGAAAATTTACATACTGAAGTGCACTATACATCATCATTTGACCCACGTTTTATATCTCAGCTTCTCTTCCAAAGACATGTTTTGGCAAAAAGGTTATCTTGATCAGTACCATGATAGAGGCTAAAGTGTAATCTGCTCTGTGATAAGGTCCTTATCTTTTTTCTTTTTCTCTTTCTTTTTTTTTTTTTTTTTTTTGCAAGAATACATTTAACACCTTATCATAATCTTCACTCTTTTGGTTGTCTTCATTAATCAAAGTATTTCCTGAAAGAACAAGCTACATAAAGCATAATGTGGCACATGGTGCTTCTTCTTTCACCTCATTTTTGAAAGATAAGTTCAGATTGTTGCGTATATCTTAATTCTGTACTATTGAAATGTTCAGACATACTTAAAACAACAGTCTATAGCCATACTAGCTGCTTTCTGAGTCTGTAGTTTGGCCCAGCAGGGCAATGGTTTGAGCTAATTGCTAATGTCACCATGGTGACAATGATCATGCCATGTTTCAGCATTCATCATCTTGATTCTAATCACATTTCCTAATGTCTAAACCCAAGGGGGAATGTGTCTACACCAAAATCCATTCAATAGTAATTGAGACATTTCATCCAAAAGCATTAATGCCAAACTCATGGCAGCATTACAGAAGAAGTCAGGGGATCAATAAAATCTGGGATCTGTGAATTCAAGTCAAGTGTATTAATCTTTTGGAGCCCTTGGACAACTGCACCAAATTTCACGTCAGTGTATTTATTACTGGTTAAAATAATTCCATCTGATGGACCAACACTAAAGCTGCTCGCGTGGCTACAAATGTGAACTTATCCTTGAAGAAGTTTACCCTTTGAATTTGGCACATTTCAGACTTTCCCCTGAGAATCACCATCATCACTCTTCTGTTCACCTCCAACAGCAACTGACATTGTTATTATTACTAACAATATCACAAGCTACAGTATCAACACTTTTGGAAATCAACACAACACAAAATTTTGGACGAACAAAATATAACCTTCTTGTTACAGACGATACTACACAACAGCTTACGCTGTACAGATGATACACTTTTCTAGCTGCTCTTTCACTTGATGCCCAAAATCAGAGGATATAAAAACATTAAACACATATTCAGGGTTTAATTCTGAGCAACAGTGATGTTGTGGAATTAAATAGGTTTTCAGCGTTTCCATCCACTTCTTTACAGGTCACAGGCTCAGTGTGGATAAACATTAACGGGCATGTACAGTACAGATCTCCTCCTGTACAGTTCATTTACACTCATTGTTTTTTTCTTTGTACATTGTCCAATGAGCTCCTTTAATTGCTTATTGGCAGTGTTGAGTCATTTTTTTTTTTTAACTCAGTCCATCAGCCCCAGGCTGGATATCCATTCCACTGGGATGAAACATGAAGGCATCAAAAAGCACAGGAGGCTGAACACAAGCACAACTGAACTCAACTGCTGTGGTAAAATGTCTGTGTCGGTTCATCGCATTCATCCAGGTAATAAAATGTCAGGTTGAAATTAAACTATCCACAGGAATAAAGCAAAACGTTCTCAGCTCTGCAATGACTTTCCAGTAAGTAGTTTAACTTTAAATTGACACTGCTCTGGTGAAGGTACACAAGACTTGCTGCAAGGCAGTGGCTCTGCTGAAGGGTTTGCTCATAGCGAACTATGCTAAAGAAGAGGCAAAGGACTACACTCCCAGAGTTGTGTTATGAGGCGAGTTTAACAAAAAAAACAAAACTGAAAATGGTAAAAGGAACAACAAAACTGTCACAACAGAAATAAAATATGCAGACGGAGAAACAGGATTTAAGTGTTTTTTCACAAGGTCTCGTCTTTTGTTAGATGTTGTGTGGGTGTGCTGTCTGTTGGCATCAACATTTTTGCTACATAATGATCACCTTTCATCTCATCAGCCTCCACACACACACATTCACATTAGTCACACAGGATGCTCTATTTTTCCAAAGACAGACAGAATTTATGCTCCTCAGGCTGCACTTTCTTAACTGTGCTGAGGATTTTGTATTCATAAGATACCTGCAGAGTAGTAGTAGTGTGAGTAAGCAGCGTTAGATGGATATTAAGCTTGAATAGGTTGTTTAAAATGGCCCAAATCATAGTGTGGTTTGAAAATCACAGTGCTTGTCCTAAAATATACTTTTTTTTTAAAGTATTTTTTTCTGTCAAAGGTACAGCATTTTGTCAGTGCTACCCTGCAGGAAGCTATAAGTGTGTTTCACTGACACCTTCATCTGCATACAACATTTTCCAGATGCCTGGTTTTTTTTTTCATGACTGCAGTTTTTGTTTTGTATATTCAAGTATAATTTGCATCTACATTACAGCATACTGACTAAAAGAGGTTTAGGTGTTGAACCTCTTGGAGCTGACTCTCCTGCACACACCTATACTCACATATCACATATTTGTCATTTACGCCTATAATGTTTCAAAATTAAACATCTATAGAGATAACAGCTCACACTTCACACTGTGTTCTGGTCTCATTTGGGGCACTGATCCTTGATTTTTTTGTTTAAAATTATGCAAGCTTCCATCTCCCACTAGGCTGAGACTGGTGGCACATACACACTCCAACACAACAGATACATAGACTAGTGTGGCCTTACAGGGTTTGCCAGTGATCCCAATGAGCTGAGACCACAGAGAATATTGTCTGGCTCTGCTGACTTCACGTCTGCCAGATTCTGTGTGTGTGTGTGTGCGTGCAGGAATGCATGGCCGCTACCCACAGGTGTGTGTCAGTGTCTATGCACGGCTCTGTGCATTTGTATGCATGTGTGTGAGCGTGGGGATCATGTGTGGGTAGGAGTGTGACCTACAGCTGTGATGTGGATCACTAGTACCCACTGCTGTGAATGAGAAGGATAAATAATTCAAGGTGCTCTCGGATTGCTGTTTGATATTGCAGCCAAATGCATGTGAACAGAGCATAGGAACAAGTGGTCCCACAGCAGCCCCAATTTGCCAGCATTCAAAGTGGCTCGACCTCAACTACCTGACACGAGTGCAGTCATTCAGGGAGAACGGAGAACATTGGGTCTCCCTGGAGGCTGGTAGATTTTCCTCCTTTTGGATTTCAGAGCCGCGGCACGGATCTAAGACCGCACTGCCAATAGATCAGCAGATAAGTAGCGACAGTGACCTCCTGAAAACAATCAAGCATTGACATCCAGTCTAATTAAGGGTAAGCCTGCTGAGTCAGCTACGAAGCAGAGATGGTGTGACTCATGTAAACAGATGTGATGGAATGAGAGGAAAGGTTAATGGAGAAAACAAAGGAAAGCATGATTATTTGGCTTGGATAGCTGGTCGGACAGATGCTATGGATTTCGGTATGTGTCTAAAGCCTATGCATGGGTTCTGTTGTACTTGTGTTTATTGTGTTACGTATCCAGTGTGTTGGTGTAAGCCGGCTCCTCTTCTCGAGGTGGTACATTGTAGGCCCCAGCAGGGAGAGTGTAAATGCTGTGGATCACCTCCTCGCCTTTTTTTTTTATCTCTCCACTTGTCCTAGAACCTGGTGCTCTCATGTTTCAGCATGCGGATGTTGGTAAGTGTCCCGCTGCCCCTGTGGTGGTATCCGTAAGCCTGGTGCTGCCCCTCCAGTCACCGAGCGCTGCTGCCTGACGACATGCTGCTGCTGGGACTGGAGCCGCCCGAGCCCCGGTCTTCAAACAAGCTGATCTCTAGCTGAGGACACAATGAACGTCAAGGATCATCCTCGCAAACAGGGTATTAAAGCACAGAGTTGAGGAAGCGCAAAAGGATGTTAAAGCATTACACTTCTGCATCTGTGATCCTGTTATATTCAAACCTTCTGCTCACTTGCATGCATAAATCTAGGCGACTGATTTGAGATGATGGGTAGTCGGAAGATTTTCTCTCCTTGGAAAGATCAGCGACTGGTGTGAAAGAAGTCAGTGTGTGTTCCCAGTTTTCTGTTTCTTTCTCACTGGATGCCGACCTCTCACTGGATCACCATCAAAGGCAATCACATCTTGCTTTTAGCGCTGATAAAATCAAACCTTTTTGAAAAGGTTTGGAGCAGTCCATGACATGTTCAACGTGTCTCTAATCCCTAGTCTGATGGGCCATGAAATGATTCCCAAAAAGGCTGCTTTCCCGTACATAAATTGGTCCTAAATCATGAAGGTTCAGGCGAAGAGATCATGCAAACAACAAAAAATCGATACATTCAATGCAGTTTTTTGGGAGAACGAGGTCTCTAACTATCCATCAGAAACCCTAACGATAGCATATAGGCGTGCATTGACTAATAAATGCTGGTAATAGGTTGGCTCTTTGACTTGGAGCCTCTTCTTTGAACCAGTCAGTGCCAGGCCTGTGTGATGGTCTACTGAACATATTCTTCCTCTCCTTCTGCCTGTGCTGGGATCACTCCAACTGACAAAAAAGACAGACGTGCTGCTGGATACTTCAGAAAATGCGGCAACTCATCTATAAAAGATGAACCACATGAAGAGCTGGAAATATTTGAAAAGACTGTGATATAACACCTTATTTCAGAAGGATAAAGCTGCCTGTGTGACTTTAGAAAAGAAAACACGACATCACAGGTGCACACACATTTTTGGCTCCTGATTAGCAACATCAACTTGGATTTTTCACCTTCTCTTATCAAAGGACAGAGCGTGCAGGCTTTTTCTGTCCTGCCTGGCTTCAGATTTACTCCTGGGAACAATAGTTGGCCATTGAACAGCTATTCTGCAGCAGCTGGAGTTTAAGTGCCTTGTTCAAAGGCACCTTGACAGAATTTATGAGGAAGAAGAGATATTTCTTATTCATTTATGCCATCCACATGTTTCTAGCAATTTGAATTATTCTAACCTGTGTTTTTCAGCTCTCTAACTCCTATCAGTCTTCGATATGTCAAGCTGTCCTGTCAGTGCTTTCATCCACTATCTCTTTGTTGCACACGTGAACACAGAGTACAAGTAGCAGATGAGTGAAGGATACAACCCTCATTCCTCTCTCTATGGGGTCTGTGAGCAGCAGACCTCTAGGAGCGTAGATCTTCTCATTCTGCTCCTGGATGTAGCCCGATATCTTCCTCAGCACCTGGAATAAAACAGGGGCGGGGAGGGATTAGGAGAGGACCAAGGTACATCTAGAGATAATCCAGATTTGATTAGACCCATTGAAGGTACGATGAAAACACAAGCCGAACATGCACCCTCACTGAGAATAATCTGAGCAGACATTCCAGCTGAGGATCCATTACCTGCATATTACTTTTCAAAGTGCATTCTGTGTTACATGTAATAACCATGAGCCCAAAAGAGGCTAAACATGGAGCCAAGCTGCGGCAACTTTAACCTCCTCCTGTGCTGTCTTGAGTGGAAAATATGAAAAATGGAAGAAATGAGTTTGCAGTCCTTCTGTGCATAGTTAGCATACGGCATATGATACCAACTCTCTCGAGTCATTGCCCGTCTTTATTTTTCCTGAGCATTATAATCTAAACTCAAAGTAATTCCATTATGCTCTAAGTACAGCAGTTATTTTTTTTATACATACTTCCAAGCCACTCATGTCAAGCAAGGCGGTATGAATTGAATTACTAAAATTGATGAGCTTGAGCTTTTCCTCTTTTTGAAGTTTTCCATTTGGAGGCTTTAGTTTCTAATTTAAAAGATGGCTCTCTCAGGCTAAATGTCATGCCTTGGTTAACTGTCTGGGCAATTTGGAAACACTCTAAAATGTGAAGTGGACAGTTTATTTAGATTGCATTGGCAGCGAATGTATTTCTCAGCTTTGCAAGTGAGTGTTGCATCAACTGTGCAAAATAAAGCCACAGAGCAGCAGTGGAGTGAATCTGTGCGGTTCAGACCGTGGCCCGGCTCACAAATTCAAACACGCATGTCTGCATGTATACATTCTCCTATGCATTACAAATACACGGAAGTGAAGAATAAAGTCTAAAAAAAAAAAACCTAAGCAACATCAGAGAGTCCAAGGTTGTTGCTGATAGCAACCAAATCACTACAGACGGATGGCCAGTCATGCTAAATGGACAACTATTAGCTAAAGTGGAATCATTAGTACTGCTTATTCAGCCCCAGCTCTGCTTCTGTGAGCACCAACAATGCTGATGTGCCATGCCTCTCTTAAACTCCACCTAATCATGTCAGTCAGCGAAACCACACTCCACTGGGCCTCGTGTACACTGAGAGAGCTGCCAGCGCTCCTAAAAAGAAGGTGCAATCTTTAGCCCACAGTTTAGCTACATTAGCCACAGCTCTTTTAGGAGGTAAAACCAAAATGGACTGTGTCTGGATGTCTGGCTAACCTCTGGGGTTACTTTAAAAACTTTAAAAGCGTCTTTCAGTGAGTCAGTAAACTTCATACTGTTGCACTTCTCATTCATGTCTGTCCAGACCCATGCATCATACATAGAAAAGACTTTCAAGTGTGTAAGTCCATTGAGAGAAACAAACCAGAGTCACATTCCTTGAGCGTGTACACATGCTTCACCAGTGAAGCCGATCCTGGGAGAACACAGAGTCATAACCATGACAGATGACACGATTTAAATATGGATATTACTGAAAAGATGCTACAAATTGTAAAATGTGGAACTGTCACGCACATAGTTTGAAGGTGGCCACCCAAGATTATTGTCACCAGTTAAGGATCTGACCAGATGCGATGTGCTGTCAAATTCTTCATTATGGTGTCAAATAATGGCTCCAAATGTGTGTCTGCAGAACATAATGATGCCATAGTGTGGTTAACCTTTGACCTTTTGGATGGAAAATGTCTTCACTTCATCATTTTGTCCTTTTAAACATCCATCCATCCATTATCTATACACCACTTAATCCTAACGAGGGTCACGGGGGGCTGGAGTCTATCCCAGCTGACTTAGGGTGAAGGCAGGGGACACCCTGGACAGGTCGCCAGTCTATCACAGGGCTACACTTAGAGACAGACAACCAAGCACACTCACATCTACGGACAATTTAGAATCACCAATTAACCTCAACATGTTTTTGGACCTTGTGGGAGGAAGCTGGAGAACCCGGAGAGAACCCACGCTGCACGGGTAGAACATGCAAACTCCACGCAGAAAGATCCCGGTGCCCCCACCGGGACGCGAATCTGCGACCTTCTTGCTGTGAGGCAACAGTGCTATTCACCGAACCACCTTGCAGCCCTCTTAAACATTTATGTGAATACTTGTCACAGTTAGTGTATGTTTGACTCATGATTAAAAACATGTTTAGTGAGGCCACAGTGATCGTGGCCTTTGATCTGTGAACTGCCACTTCTGATCAGTTCATCCCAGAGTCCAAGGGGATGTTTGCCTCAGATGTAATGAAATTGGTAAGATATTAGGTTCACAAGAACGGGGCGGACGAGAGGTTGCAGCGACCTTGTTCTTTGCCAAAATCAAATCAGTTCATCCTCAATGTTTGGCTAAATTTGAAGCAATTCCCTCAAGTTGTTTGCAACCACAATCAGGTGTTCACAGTATTAGATTCATGAGAATGGGACGGGTGGCCAAACTGAAAACATAGCTCTGGCTCGCCACTGCAGAGGCATTAGAAAAGAACAGGATCCAAACAGTGAGAAGCTACAATTCTCTTTTGAAGTACGCCGTGTTGAATGTAACACGTTTGTGTTTGTTCCTCATGTGGTTTACTGAACATGACAGATTCACATCCTCTTTTGTGAGTTAACTAAAGGTCAGTGCAGCACTCAGCCTTAAGAGATTAAAACAACAGAGACTGAGCAACACACTGAGCGACGCTCCTCTGGAATGTCAAAGGCCTGTTACAGCTGCAGGCACAGCTGCTAATATAGTGACCCTTGGAAGTGGAGACTAAACAACAGAGGGATACTTCTTTCTGTCTCCCACTGGAAGAAGAATAGGAGACTTTTTGCAATGAAATGTCTGGAAAACATTAAGACATTTTACTTCTCGGTGAATTATTGAACTGAAACCATCAAAAGGCAGTGGTTTGCTTTGTTGCACTTCTTGAAATCAGTCAGATCTAAGTGAACTAATGCTGAGCATAAAGTAATCATTATTTGACTTGAAACAATGACTTTATATCCACACATGTCGTAACACAATATAAACAGAGCCTTTTGTTAAAAACTCAATCAAACGTCACAGCGAAGAGGCAGACACACAGAGCGGAGCCCTGACTAATCGGTTTACTGTGGTCCAGGGAAAAGGGCAATCCTTTCACTTGCTAGCGAGCTCTCGGGGCAGCTCAATCCTCTTCAGCGTAACAATATGACAGTCAAGTATCCAATCTGTGCCTCTGCTGAACTGGCATGTGAGTGACAAAGCCTCTGGGAAAAGTGATTGTGCAGATACATACACACTCCTCCGCATATGTTGTCAAGTGCAATATAAAGGAAATATGAGTACCCACATGTATCTGTGCGAATCTCATGCTGTATATGCAGCCACATTCTTGTTAATACCCGGAGAAGAAAAAGAGGAGATGGAGGGCGCAGACTTTATGTGAGGTGAGTTTTCTGAGTGCTTGTGCTCACATGTATCTGCTGTGACATGCTGGGAGCAATCAGCATCTTTTGATGGAGCGAGATGTAAGCATCAAGGTGAGCTGGGTGCTCGAATGAAACTCCACACTGATGCACCATCGCTGTAACGTACACACACACACACACACACAGCATCAACTTGGGTGGGTATGTTTTATCATCGTCTGTCATAACGTCATTCAGCCAAGATGATTAAGTTAAACAAGTAAATAAACAACTCTTCTGTGGAGCCGATAGCATCTCAGCATCTTAATGTAGCACGACCCAGCTGACAGGCAGATGAAAGGAGCCTCAGGCCAGGCCATTTCTGCATGGTTTCAACACAGAAAATAAGTTCCTTTGTGCTTTTTGGTCAAGCTTCCAGCGCCGCTGTACTGCTTTGATAAAGAAATGTTTATAAGATGCATCAAGACCAGGGAGATGAATGTTGTGGGTGACAGAGATCAGAGCAGAGAGGCATGCTGGAACTTCACGCAACTCCAGTTTCATCTAAAACACCGGCAGGTACACACAACATCACAAGAGGATTAATCAAGCTCACTGTTCCTGTGTGTGTGATTCTGTTACAGATGTGTGTGTTCTCGTTCCAGCTCAGCGAGTAACAAGGAACAACACAGTTGTGCAGAGGTTTCACCACCTGCCTTTTCTCAAGATGGACATCTTGGCTGTGTTGAAGGCTCAGTGTCATGTCTCAGCTGGCGTGCCATGTCTTGGCTACTGGCACACAGGTGTAGCCGTCAGACTGAGTTTTAAAACGCAGTGAAAAGAAAGCTGAGGGTAAACATTGTTCCTGAGAGAATCAGATCATATCTCTTGGTTTTTTGGCTCTGCTTTCCTCTGTCAGTGAGTCTAAATAACTGTGTGACCCAGAGTGCATTAGAACACACAATTGGATGTTTTAGTGTGTGCAAGAGTTGGCTTCCAACAATATGGACAAATATGGTAGTAAATAAGTCTTGTGGATGGGCAGTGGAGTTTATTAACACACAATAAAAGGATCCTTAAAAATCTGGTTATCTACAAAACTTTGGAATGAAAACTATTTTACGTCTGAATATTTATTATGACAAGCACAGTAGCAAATAGGTTTGCACTGTCACATCACATTTATATGGCTGTGGGTCAGAAGTTGCTGTCCACTGGGGCTTTTTAGAGTTTGCATGTCCTCCCAGGACCTGGGTGATTTATTTCCTGGTGCCTCGGGACTCCCCCACAGTCTAAAGACATGCAGGGTATTACTGAGATATTCAGTAGAGTAGGATTGGTAGGATTGCTTGTGGGCCTGAATACATGTTTATCTGTAGCTGTGTGATAAACTGGCAACCTTTCCAGGGAGCACTCTGCCTCCCTCCCAGTGTAAGCTTGGACTCTATGGCCCACTGCAACCTTCAATAGGATAGATTGTTTAAAAGACTATGAATGGATACTTATTTGTTGTATTTACAGTAAAAATCTACTGGGAAAACAGTGTTTGTCCCCTTAGGTTTGTGATTAAAAGGTTAGAGAGATATGTAAAGCCTAAAGCCAGAGTTTTTAATGTCGCAAATGTTCCTCTCATTTACCCACATAGATCACTATAGCAAACTATGCTGCACATCTAGCCTGTACCTGAGGGGAATTTGGGGATGTAAACTGGCTGTAAGAGGCACCACCCTTTCAACTTGTTGTCATCAGTACCTATCTGCATTCATCTGATGATGCAGAAGATGCATCAATATGCTTTGATGCTTGGTTCACTTTACTCCGCTGGTGCTGCAGTGAATGGTAAACAAATTAGATTATTGATCAATCTACTGGTATTTATCACAGAGAATATTCAATCAAATCATTCATTTCATTTAGATTTGGCCAAAAAACTGTAGTGATCTTTCATTATGTGATGTTGTCAGACCTACTTGCACTTTTTTTTTATGTGTTGTGTTTAAATAAGTAAAGCTTCAGTGCTCTAATGTGCATCAGTCACAGTAGAATGCACTGACTGGTTAAATAGGGGAATCCTGAGGTAACAAAGAAAGGCATAACCACTGCTTGGGGTTTTGGGTTTTGTTGAACCAGCTAACACAAATCCTGGCTACGTCAGGCTGGTCTCATAGTACACTTCTCAGGTTTGCTTTGCAATAAACAACAGGGTAAAGTTTTAAGCTTTAAAAGAATGTGTCAGGAGAATTTGGCCTCTGGAATAATGTGTTTCTATACAGAAGGTCTAATGCTGAGCTACAAGCTACAAGCTCTACAAAAAGCAAAGCTTAGGGTGCATTAGGGGATCACTAAAGTTCCAAAAACCATGGAAGCTCAAAGGAATAATTCACCATTTTTGGAAATAGGCCCATTCACTCTTCTATCTGTTTGCTGATTATAGAGATGGAGTTTGAAGGCAATTAGTCCAGCTCAGCATTAAAGACGCAGAGTGAAGCAGCTAGTTTGACTTTGTCCAAGTTTGAAATGCACACTTAATTACACTTTAGCAAGAATAAATTAACCGTTGCTATGCATGCAAACACAAGTACAGAGAGTTGCTTAATGTAATTTCAGGGCCAGATGTGTGTTAATGCTAAGCTAAGCTAATCCTCTGTTGGCTTTAGTTTTATATACATTACATAAACGTCAGAGGGGTATCGACCTTTTTATTTAATGCTCAAATTTTGCGAAAGCACCGTTATCTTAAGTAAACTCCATCTTTTTTCCATATAAACTGTACTTCAAGTCAACATATGATATATTTTACGTGCTAAAACTTAGGTGTTCACAGATTTATTACCTTCTCATAGCGTGTCTCCATGCAGAGGAAGATGATGTAAGCTGTTGCACAAGCCAGACATCCTTCCAGGTACGACTGACCTCCAATTTTTTCAGCCTCCGCATAATAAGAGTTCAGGGTCTTCACCGTCTCCTCCAGCAAAGTTCTCTCAATCTACTTACAAACACAAACCAACACACAGGTAGAGATGTGAATGCACGCACACACACCGTGAGGGCTGCACGTGTTGAAAAGTGTTCTGGCATATTTGCAGGAGCAAGCTGTTCGGCTATAAACCAACCTGCCAAACATACCAGCGGCATTCTGCTCAACCCAAAATATTCCTATTTTGTTAAGCAATTTAGAAACACATCTCACTTGCAGAATGTGGAAAAACTTGAGGCGAAGATGAAAAATTACTAAGAAGCATGACTGCAATGGGTAGCGGTTAGAGGCTCTGACAGTGAATATTTATAGTGAACTGATGCGGATTTCTAAAAAAAAAAAGGAAAGTGTTCTAATGGTCCCTTTACACTGACTCCCACTGTTTCCCTCTGAGCTTGTATTTCTTTTTATTTCTTGCTCTCTGTGTGTGGACTGTCTGCTTTAGATGCTAATTGCGAGACAAATCTACAGTAATATCCCTACGCAGCACCATTCTCGCCAATATAGCCAGGTGAAAAGAGCAAAACTGCATAAATAAACTGCATATTTTTTCCCCCAGTGCCTGGTGTGAATATAGTGTGTCGCTTTTATTCTGCAGAGTTTGAAGCGCAGACTATTAGAGGTCACTCGGGCTGGAAAAGTTTGTGTCCATCTGTGGTGAGGTGGAAAGTTCATCTCGCAATGTCACCGTACTTGATGATTATGCTAAATGTTTGAATTTCAAATTTTACGATTGCGAGGATTAACACTGCAGAATTGAGGAGTTTAGGAAAAATCCTCTATGTACATGTGTTAGCGTATACCTGTGTGCATTTACTTACAAGTTTAAGCAAATGAGCAAGCTGATATCCATCATTCATATGTTTTGTCATCAAGAATACATCACTGAAGTGATCTTATTAAGCTATGTTGAGTCTTTCCGTGTTGGAGCATGTGGGAGATGTTGTTTCAAGTGACATGGGATTTTGCCAACGCAATACATTTGCCTGGATATGTGCTTGTGTTTGTGCTCACCCTGTTGTCAAGCTCTGAAGGGAACTTGGTCTGGAATCGGCACACGGTTCCTTCGCTGTAGTCTCTCTGTATAAACACCTTTGTTACCAGCGACGCACTGTGCCGCAGCTCCTGGAGGTTGTGGAACTTGGAAGACAATAGAAAAACAGGCATGTTAAATTTGTGATCCAAAACACATTTGCATTGATCTAGGCACAAGAGAGGCATGTCTCTTTGCTTTTGTGAGATGTGCTATGCTGTGGCTCCACTTACAGAGACAATTTTCTCTACAAACCATTCCAATCTCACCAAAAAAACAAACAAAAAAACTCCCCAAAAAACAGAACACTGATTGTTTAGGATTTCTTTTCACTTTGCAATGAGACTGGGTTCATTCTTTGTACTGTCAATAAATGGATCTGCACAAAGGCTTCCACTGTGCAGTCAACTTAACTTAAGGCCTGTTTCAACATCAAAACATTACAGTTGAAATCCACTTGTATACAGAAGTTCTGAATAGCAAGGCTTATACAATATTCACAGTGTAATTCAATATTTCCTGACAGCTTTGAGTTGTTCTTTTTTTGTCTGACAAGTACAAGTACAACCAGGCTACACTGTGAAAGAATGGCTGAGTACACCGACAGCAGCTTATCGTAGTTAGCACTCTCACTTCATTGCTCCAGCATCAATAGACCCGATTGCAGCAATAACACTGTGAAAGACTCCACTTTACAGCACTTTGGTGGTGAGTGGTATGTTTTACACCCAAACACTCATTCCCCTTAGAAGCACACAGCAACAAGCAAGTGGGCCAGTGTAAACTCGTCCCCAGCTGATCGAAATTACTCCCCTCAAGAGGATGGTAATTAGAGATACAGTCGGCGCATGGAGGGAGTAAAAGAGAGCGAGGGAGGCAAGAACGAGAAAGTGTTGAGAAAGTAAAGTGAGAAATATGAGGTTGTATTCTTGTCAGTCAGTCAGCACTCTCTTAACTGGTGTTGGAGGGTTGGCATGCCAGAGAGGGCAGTTATGGGACCACCACTGTTGTGTGTCTGCCAATGTTTGCAACAGCGTGCCACAGGCTTCACTGGTCTACTCTTTAACACTGCAAAGCCAGGATTTGCAGTGTCGGCCTCTTCGGCGCTCTGGAAGATGGCATTGTACAGGGAGTCGTAGAGTTTAATATGTCTTTTACCACCCAAGCGAGCTACCTTGCACCTAGAGGTGGTTCTTCCATTAGTTTGTCTGTCTGGTGTGACGTCCTTTTTTGTCTTGTGCTCAGTAAGTAGTGGATGCACAGCAGCTTCCTGTAGCATTTGGTCTTGAATGTCTTTCAGCCTCTGTGTTCAGCGTCCAAGCTTGTATCCCAACAAGAAATCCTCAATGGCAGTTTGGTCTTAACTGGCAGGCGGATACAGTTACTTCTCCAGAAGATTTTGAGTTTAGTCCTGGCAGATGAGACCTACCATCCTTCCCAACAGCAGCATGCAAAATCGTCCACTTTTTTGAGTTCAGTTCAGCGTAGGTTCTACCTGGATGCTGGTGCCGTTCACAAGGATTTTGCTTTTCTCTGTGCTGACTGTTATTATAAACCATTTTGCGGCAGCTTCTCGTCCGGTGGTGATTTCCTGAAGCTCTGCCTCCCATGAAGTCGATATCATCAGTGAGTCTGAGGTTGCAGAGTGGGAAGTCTGTTATTGGATATGGATAACTGACCGCTGGACCTCGTCTCTATCAGGATTTTTTTCCAAGAACATGTTTAACAGATGCACTACAACAGTTGTTTTGAATTACTCTGTGATCAGGTTATTTAAGTAGACTGCTTTGTTCCAACTGTCTGGATCACACTGGAGGTCGCTGTCAATACTGTAGTTCCTCATCACTTGTCAGACACGGTCGAAGCCTTCTTGAAGTCGATAAGGTCGTGGAACAGGTCGTGCTGGTGCTTTAGATGAATCTCAATCACAGTTCTGATGCTAAATATATGCTTGACAGCGCTTCTTCTTAGTCATTCTTTATTCATTCATTCCAGAGCCACAAATACAGTTGCAGAAACACCATATTTCCCAGGATATTGTTACCATTTGTGCAGCTATTGACTTTATTTACCAAATTTCATTCAGTGTGTATCGGTGCCAAAGTTTGCTCAGCTACAGCAGGGTTGATATTATCAAAAGGTAGGTTACCTGCATGTGCGAGCCAGAGAGAGTCATTTCCAAGTAAGCAGACATAGCACAGTGCCAGCCCTTCATCTCTATTTAGGGTATATCACTCACAACCAGGAATAGCATCCAAGCTGCTATTTTGGTCCGCTAACAGCCACAATCATCTCACAAGCAGAGCTTTTAATATCCTTCTTTCTGCTTCCTATTTCTCTCCCTCTAACGTGGCCTTCTCACTCATTCCCTGCGCTATCTTCAGGCCATCATGATGAACAACAAGTCATTCTATTAATAGAAGCAATTATCATCACAAGGTTGAGCATCATTTATCCAAGTTAGAATCAGTTGGCCGAGAGTCGGGTTCATTAAGATAACACAGGTTCTTCGTGACCGGGAGAATGTGTGCAAGTGAATGTATGTATATGCAAATATGTGATGTGGTGCATTGATGGGAAAAATACTCTGACCCTTAATGTAAGTAGCAGTACCACAGGGGAAATATTCTTTAGAAACAAGGTTTCCTGCAATCAGAGTTTGGAATTGTTAAACATGTTTACTTCAAATTTATACTGACAGTCAAAAGAAATCCCCAAAAACTCAAGTATTTTAAGTTAACGCTTAGTTGTGCCTCCAAAATGAAAACCTCCTATGTGAGTTCAGTTCTGTGGATTAAAAACAGAGTGACAGGAAATGAAAAGGAAAAAAAAATATGGTAATGAGAAAAGAGAAACAGAGAGAAGGAAGGAAAGAAAAAAAAATCAACAAAGATTTAAAGCACTGGAAGGAAGGTATGAGGATATGTGGAGGTATCCAACGAAGGAAAGATCGGAATTATAAAAGTAAAATAGAGAAAGAAACAAGCAGAGATGAGAGAGAATGTATAAAGGGGAAAAAAAGATAAAAAAGTAAAGAAAGAAGAGCGTAAGGAATGAAACCAGAAAGAGAAGAAGAAAGATGATGATAAAGAATGAGGAATTTAGTAAAGAAGGGAGACAGAAAAGAGATAAACTGGAAATAAGGAGAAAAAGATCAGCATAAGATGGAAACAAATGCTGAATTGTTATATTTGGGGGAATAAAAGTGTGAATATACTTTATTTTGCACCTCTATGTTGGTGTGTCTCACTACTAACCTCTATGATGGAAGAGGAACCGAAGCTTTACGTTTCTCTTTGCCTCTAAATAACAAACTCTGCCTAAAAATTGAAGCACTTGTAGAAAAATACCAAAGCTGATGCCAATGTTTATGCTGACAGGGGTTCTGGGTGAAGTCCAGCCCAGAGTCATGTGAGTGAACATTACCAACTTTCCTTGCAGTGTCACATGCAGTGTATTGGAGCCAGTGGGATGTCAAGCTGTGTTTTGGCCTGTTGTCGACCAACTGACCTCTGACTTACACGTATCTTGCTGTGAAGCAGGCACGAGTCATGTCTCACTCGAGTTTATTTTGCCCAAATATAGGATTTCAGAATATTCCACCCACAACTTCCATGAATAAACTTAGAAAATTGTGAATTTAAAACACGATTCTCTGAAGGCTGGAGTGATAAAAAACTAAAACAACTGGTAAAAGACTGTAGATTTAAGTTTTTAACCTTGTTGTGTATTTAGGCTGTTGTAAACTACACAACAACAACGATCATCTATGTTTGTCTTGTCACATGGTGTGGTATAATATAATCCTGAGCACAATATGTGTCAGACTGTAATACATTAATCCAAGGTATATCCATTTGTAATGGTACAACGCAAATAGAAAAACAAACACTTTCGAGAAGAAGCATGTCAGTAGAGTCCCACAAACTTTCTTTTCCATTTTGCCTCCATTGTTTTGGTTACATGTGTTTGCGTTTATAAGATGCCACTTGCGAAACGTCATGCAGACCACTGCGTTTTGCATGATCTCATGTCCCACTGCGATTGGGTGGTTTGCAGGCGAGGGTCAGCGGTTACTTTAGAATTTGGTCCAAAATTGGTAGACGTTTCAGATCATTGCCATCTATGATTTGAACCACATTTCTCTCATGATCGTTAAGATTTACTTCAGGCCACCGAACATTGCGCAGTACAACTCTTACACAACCGCGCCTCCAAAAACACTCAGACACAGTCAAACTCACACACAAGTCGCCCGTGTGACATTTCCATATTGACGAGCGCTGGTTTTAACATCCCATTCATCGCTCCATGCTTATTAATTGTCAAACGGAGGCGAGCGCTGCCATACTCCTTCCTTATCAAACATGTACTTTTCTGCAGTTTAATGTCAATCAAAGCTGAATAACCAGGGAGCTCGTACTCTCTTACAAATCACTCACATCCACCGAAGTCCTCAAACAGCTATTTTCACCGACATTAGAGACCCGATCAAACATTTCTTGAGTCACGTGGTGTTGATGTTACCGGCAAGAATTGTGTGTGTCCATTTAAGCCGTGAAGATAGATGTTTTCTGTTGGCACTTTATCATTAGCTCTCCTTGTGTGGAGGATCAGGGTTCAGATCTAGTCTATTCCTGGGTCTAAATATAGTACGCAGGCAGACAGCAAAGTTAAAGTGTCAAACTGATCACACAGGACTCTATTAAGGAGCTCCACATCGTGCTGCACTGTCTGGCTTCTCCTTCCGCCCACACATCCATTACTTTCGTTAACATTTGTTTGCGCGCTGATTAAACACAGAGAGAAAACAAGCTGTAGAATGAAGACTTATCTCCAGGTAACCAGCTCATAAAAACACATTGCCTCAAGCGTTAGAGATAAAAACAGATGAGCTAAACAAAGACATGACACACATAAATCTAATTCTAACTGCAGAACAGCAATGCACATGAGTTAAAACAATTAATCTGACTAATTTATCTGAATGTTACAATGACTCAACCTGTTCAAAGTTCATTGAAGAGTTTTATCATGAAGAATTTTTTAGCGGAAATTCAAAAACTAATGCGTTTCTTTTGTATGTTCAGAAATGGCCACTGGCTGAGCAGGCAAATAGAAGGAAAACTACTAT